AGCATTTATAAACTGAGCTTTGCTTCAGATGTGCAACACGTGCTGCACCCAGTTCATGATTACTGGTTCTTTTAGCAGAGGAACCCCAGCACAGCAGAGACCTTTACACAGCACCGCCCGGGGTGCAGGTAAGGGCAATGTTGACTTTCCACGTATTTCAGTCATACCATCGCGGATACCTAATAAATCTTACATCAAAGGAAGACTTTTGAAACTAAATTGTTCAGTAATATGCATTTTCGATCAAAACACATGGGAGACTTTAAAAATTTACTGCGCATAAATAAAATATTTGATCTTTCTGATTCTTATTTTCCAAACCCTTCCAGACACTTCATACTAATATTGACACTAAACTTCAATATCGATGTCGGAACGATAAAGCAGAACTGCGCTATGAATATTTTAATAGGATGCAGTAGGATGCTTCCACAAAAACGTTTTCCAAGGGGTTCTTGGGGTCACTTCTCTGCTAGTGCAACACACAAGTGCGTGGCCGCAAGCACCCGGCGGGGCTGTGTAGCAAAGGACAGCCAGGCTGATGAGCCCAAAGCGACAAAAAGGCACATCTGGAGGTCAACATCAGGTTCTGGGGCAATGTTTGCAAAGGCCATCAAGAACCAAGAAGGTTCCTACCTCGCCCAAAGTGGTTGTGGTCCTCTGCTGCTGTCGGGCTCCACGCGAGTCTGCAGAGATGCTCCAAGGGGTCCCTGGCCACCGCTCTGGGGCTGCAGCCTTCTCCTCGACGGCAGTGTGCACGGCAGAGCCTGGGAGCACAGACGCCCTGCAGACGCATGTCTCCGACAGGGTCCGATCCCACCCAGCCAGTGCCACCCCGTCCCTACTCATCAGCTGAGAAAGCCACAGGAGGAGATGATTCTTCCTAAAGCACGTTGGATGCCTGCTTAGCACAACAAGTAAAAACAGTCTCCATGGCATGTCTTACTGCTTCTATAAGAGCATGGCATTCTTTGTTGGGTTTTTTCTCCTTTTTTAAGAACATTCAGTTATTTACATTTAGGTCTGCTTTTTTTTCATCGTGGAGAAAAACAGCAAGCGATCAGAGCCAACATCAAGAAACAGCATCTAATCCACTTTAAAAACAGAAAAAAAAATATTCAGATAATTAGAACAGGTTGCACGGGAATCGTTACAGAAATCGACATCCAGCACCAGTAAAGTATCTACAAAGTACCAGATGGTCACTAGTAAAACAAAGAACGTGAGAACTAAAATACTGTCTTTCAGGGAAAAAAAAAAAAGGAGATTGTGAATTTTCCTTGGGGAACGACAAAACGAATCAAAATTAAATTCCTCTATTTTGTAATGAGCTTGTTTGGCTAATCAATATCTGGGCATAAAGACCGGGCTGCAGGCTGAGCAGCATGCCCTGGGCCGGCGGGCATCCGCACGGGGAGCTGGCCGGGGCTCTGCTCCTCTGGCTGGTGTGCATGCGTGTGCCGAGAGCTCCTCCTGCCTTCACACGAGTAGAGACACCTGGTCTGGAGCTACACAGCCAGTGATTTCAAAGAAAGGATTGCTCAAAATACATGTTTGAAAAGGACACAGCATACAGGGTAAATACGGAGCAAAGGAAGTAATCACAGTCCCTCTTCTGACGTATCTCCTGGGCCAGGACCAAGCCACCAGCATCCCTTGGCTATGTGCCACCGACATGCTGCTGGAGCCCAGACGGCTGCTCTTCTCCAACCCCAGCAGAGCCAACCGAGTGACCTCGGTGGTCTGTTCTCTTCATGCTACGCGTTTCCACCACTCTTCAGTGCATGGCTCAGTTTACGGGGTCTTGCTTTTCGAAGCAGGAAGGCCAGGAGGCCTTTGCAAAGGCATGCAGACATTGCTCTGGTTTCCTCCCTTGGCCATGTCCCAAACATCCACTTTGATCAACGCATAGAGAGTGCAATCTTTTGGATTCAGCCCAGTGACAGGAAACTATGTGCAAATAAGCACATTTTAAAAAAAAAAGAATCCAGGGTCTAACTTGGAGTTCAAATTTGTAAAGAACTCCCCAGTCTTATGCAGTTATTTCAAGTGAAGCTCAAGTAGTTTGTTCCCCATTTTACCTTGGATAACAAAATAAATTGAAGGGAACTCTTCTCCCATCCTACTAAAAATTTGTTTTCCATCCATGACTGTTAGTATCCTATGGTGTCTACCAAAAGAGTTTTCTTTTACCAGAGCTTCATAAAGCTGAAAATCTTGGGGGGGTTCCTGCCTTTGCTAGCCTTTCTGTTCGGTATGGAAGTGCATCCGTCTTGGAGTCTAAAGTCTCCATTAGATAAGTGATTGCATCCACTATAAATTAAAAAGAGCGTATCACCATAAATATTTAGAGATACACATCACACTGCTGCTACTATTGCATATTTTTTAAAGTGGTCTTCTAAGGTAGGATAGAAAAGTCAACGAACAGACCGTGGTGGATCCATCATGAACAGACCTATTCAGAGCACGCAGAGGTAAAAGCATCTTGGCTTGCTGAGGTTTTTCTCTTTGGTTTTGCTTAGCCTGTCTTGAAGTGATTACTATTTGCAGCTATGCAGGCAAACAAATACGCAGCCAGCACTAAGCGTGCCTGCAGAGGCAGGATTTAATCGCTAGTGGGAAAGACGAAGGCCTAAATGGAGACAACTAAGCAAGCAGCCTTGGCCACCTGAAGGCCATGGGCAAACCTCCCGGGCTTCCTCCCATGGGTTCTGCAGAGCACAGCGGCACAGACAGGGAGTGTGGGGAACTCCTGGGCTGAACACGCGGGCTCAGACCATGACCTGCAGGCCTGTGTCCTGAGCAGGGGCTCAGGAACTCCAGCCTTGAGCATAACAGGTGGGCTTCCTTTCTGCTTGACCTGAACGGAGGCCCAAGAGCGATGATGTTCTTACCCACTGATAAGAACATCCTAATTCAACCAAAGTGCCTGATGGGCGATGGCTATAGATGGCAAAAAAGCCAGTCACAGCAAAATCTGATTTTTAGATGAGAAGCTCCTCACTGTGTCAAATTTTTAGTAATCAAGGGGACAACAGCTGAAATATAAACAAAAACCAAAAAGACTAGAGCAAACTGTCACTGATTTCCTCGAAGTCCATGAAATTCGGAGTATTATATCCAAATAGGTGTGAGGCTTGCAGCCCGGAGTCTGGGAGACAGCAGTGAAGTGTGCCTCAGAGCTAGGTCCATGGAGGGTGGCCAAAAGAAAGCCAAGCAGCACATAGCAAAACCAGAAGTCACAACTCTTGCCTTATCAGTTAGCAAAGGGCATTTTTAATTCTATGAAGCCTATGTGTGACCTAAGGTTGAAGCCTTTGGCAACCTGTGAGCTCATTTACAGAGGATCACACATAAACTTGCTCAGTTTGGCACGAATTTTCAGTTGGCTTTGTATCTAGATATCCCTCTGAGCTGCCTGAACCAGCCTATATTACTGTTATTTAACGAAGGAATAACTTGATGACCTGGTAATTATGAGCTGGACAAATGGAGGAATGCTAAGCACACTCCCAATACGAACTGGGCTTATCTACAAAGGAGTGAGATAATTTTCACGATTTTATATTTATGTCAGGTTTTAAGGCACTGAGGTCACCTATGCAAATTCCCCTACCGTTAGCTTAAGTGCAGAAAATATGCAGAGGCATTAATTTGGTAATTTATACTCGTCCATGAATCAGTCATAGAAAGAGTCGATGGCTGTATTCGCGAATGCCAAAACTGTAGGAAAAAAGGTCAGACAGCAAATATAAATTAAAATTATAAAGCATGCAATGATAAATATCTTGAAGAAGATCCTGTTTTCAGTTGTACTTTATTTCTCCCATCTGTTAGATACCAGATCAGTATTTCTGCTATTGCAACAAAACTTGAAATACTTCTGAGCTCATACATAATGAATTTGGCTGTATAGCTTCATGGACGTTACACTTTGTGTAACAACCTACAGAGGAGTCGTATTTCATCTTTAATTCATTTAAAATAAAGTGACTGCATGACATCACTCTGACATTTCCTAAGATAGTAACAGCTAGCTGATGTCACACATGTTCTAAGTAAATATGTCAAAATATATTAGCTAATATTTTTATCTGGACAGCTATCAAATTAAGTCAACAGAAAACAAACTAGGTTGAAAGCAAACATTTCCATTTTTACAGTCAGTCTTGAAAGGGAAAGAACAAATTATTTATAACACTGCCATTTTTACATGCAGGCAAGACCTTTCTCTTTAGACTTTAGGAAAAAGAAAACGAGGAAAGTATTACAAACAAGCTTATTTTCAAGTCTGTACAAATTCCAATTTCAGAGGTGTACAAGCCAGCATTCCCAGAAGACCGTGATTCATAATTCTGTCTAGAAATGGGCTAAGTATCACTTGTTGTTTTAATGTGAACATTGTGAGAGCTTGGGAAAAACAGCACACGATTTTTTTGTGGTTGTTTTCACAGAGGCAGACACAGTTTCTGTCTCTGTCATCCCGGTCCCACTGTGAACCGCACACAGAAATACTGGCACCTCTCAAATCTGCATTTCACCCAAGCCTAAAAGGCAATGGCAGTGACTTTACAGGCCTGGAGAGACTCATTCAGCAGAGTCTGAACCTCTGTCGCGCAGCTTGCTGCAGCTTTAAATAATAAATAACACGTTTCCCACGTTATTGACACATCTGTCATGTATGCCAACAACGGCAGAGAGCAATGCCCATTGCCATCCCCGCAAGCCGTCGCCATCCATGTCCCCATCCCCACCTGTGGCACCGCAGTGAGACTCCACACCAAACCTGACATCGGGTGGGAAGCAGCTACTGCAGTTTTATTTCCATTTCATCGCTGGCTTCACGCCCGGTTTCGTTTCCAAAGACAAAGCCTACTGGAGTCCTTGCGCTTTAGCGGGAATATCCAGTGCCATGCACAGATTGCAGCAGCGGCGGCAGCTCGAGCTGAACCGGAGCGGTGATCATAGCCCTCCTAACCCAGTTGCTCTTAATTTTCTCAGATTCCTGTGGGGCTGAAATTTTCCACGTTTGCTTTCCGCCCAGAGGCAAACAGTTGGCTCCTGGAAGAGTCAACAGGAGCTGTTTTGCTCTCTACAAATGTTTACAAAAAAGTTTGCGTTACGCCCACAATTGAGAAACATTCATGCACAGTTCAGTGGCAGAGTATTTTTGACCGTTTCCCAGACATTAATGGCTCCAAGGAACAAATAAAGTTCAAAGGAAATGATCTTTCCAGGTCGGGAACTCCAATCCTCACACATTTTGTCCGAAAGTTCATTTGCGCTATCGGATTTTCAGCTGGGATTTTGATTTAGATCACAGCTGTGAGCACTGGCTATTCAGAAATTCACTTAAATTGTTGCTTATGCTAAAACAGGCAAATATTTTGGCCTTTCAAATCACAACCGAAGGAAGGAGAAGCGGGAAACACCACCACCAGTTTACCACAACGTCTTGCAGGGCGAGATCAGTCCATACCTCCAGGCTGGCCAGACCAGACGACTGACGGCGAACGGGGCGCGTTTTTCAGAGCACACTGCGCAGACCAAAGCCTCTCCCGCTCCGCGGGCAGTGGGAAGCCCCCGGTGCCTTCCCCAGCAGGGATCTGTAGAAGCATCCTTGCGTGAAACAACCTCTGCTGCTGGGCAGAATCCCGCGTGTCCATGGGCTGCTGCTTTCTGCTCCCAGAAATGGCCGCGTCCGAACCGTTTCCTTTGTCATGGGTAAGGAAAAAGGAAACAAAAAGACTGTTAAAGTGCAAAATGACACTGTGCTAAACTTTGCTAAATTATTATTGGGGCAAACCCTACTGAGCTGAGTTTTATACTGAGGAGACTCCTCCTCGGACACGGATGGAGCTTAAACGACACCGAAAGAGAACGACTGTTAGTTAATCGCACCAGCACAACCACAAATTTTACTTAATGGAAATGTGTTTAGCTAGCGGCAAGGAGTTAACCAGGTATTAAATAAGCAGAAATTATCCAACCTTTAAACACACATTGCCAAACAAAGATGAAGAGATTTCCTGGGTCCTCACGAGAGGTTGGTGACAGGGTACCGAAGTTTCAGCAGTATCAAACCAACCAGCTCCACAAGCTGCAGTGTTAATTTGCAGTTCTCTCTTTAATTAGAGACAAAAGCAAAATGCTATGCCAAGCGTTTAACTGTACTTACAGTTTTAAAAAAATAGCCAGTCGGTGGTCAGGAATTGCAGAGGTAAGGCTCTTTTAGCACCACAACAGCTCTCCCTTCTTTATTTATTTATTTATTTTTAATTACCTCTGCCAGATACAGTCTCTCTTGATATCACAAGTCCTTTGTTAAATAATATAACACGAGCAAAATGATTCATCGTCATGTACATAGAGAAAAACTTCATAAATCGTACTTCCTAGCCACACTTGTGTAAAATGCCCTATTTTCATTGGGGTAGCCTAAAAAATGCAAATAGTAGTGGAACAGTTCTGAATGTCTATTTATAGTACCACAATTTTGTAATATTTTAACTTACTGGGGAACGATGGGAAAAAAAAAGCAAACCCCCAAATACTTGCTTTTAGTGGGTTCTTTGATGAGAAACGAGCCTTTTCTTGTCACAGGTCAACAGCCACACGTTGACATCGGTGTAGCTTTCTTATTTTCTTCTTTTTCTTATTTTCTTATTTCTTATTTTTCTCAAGCACTTTCCAGGTGGAACATCTACAGTAACTGCCTTTTGCACCGACCAGCGTGGCCCTGGGCCACAGGTCTGGCCGCATTTGAGAGTTGTACCTTACTCTCCCACGCCATGGAAGCGATGCCACACGAGCGACGTTGAACACTGCGCTGGCCTTCATAGCACTTCAGTTACTCCTGGTCATCCAGTGTACTTCAATTAGCCATAACGAACGACTGCTGGTGGTCTCCTGACGCATCAACCAGATGTTTAGAACGATAGAGCTGAAGCAGGACAAACGTAGTTTTGATGCTGACTTGTAGGCGCTGCTCTAACACGTTACTGTTCTGCATCTTGTCTTACTTATCACGATATATTACCAGGATCTCATCTTCTACAAGGGCATGAAAACACCACGTATGGGACCAACTCCACAACATAATTTAACGACTAATTGTCCAGATCTGAGAGCCATGCAGAGGAACAGTGACAACAGCTTCACAATAGATATTTATTATGTTAGAAGTCACCTGCCACTTTCATATCATGTATTCCTTTCGCGTCCCGAAGCTGCTCTCCTTTTGCTATTTCCTGCATAGCTTTATCTCAGACCATGCCACATTTTGAGATGGCAAAACTTATCCATAGGTCTTATTCCTGCATTTTAAATCTATAGTATTTGTCAAGGCTCTTTTCACCTTTGAGAGTCTGAAACAAGACCTAGCTTTCATCCGCTAAGCTCAGACCAACCCCCAGGCCATGCAGGCACCGATCCTTGCACAGCAGCCCAGTCTGCGTGCACAATGGACTGGATCAGATTGTCACCTGGCATAATCGAGTAAGTCAGCAATATTTTCCAACTTTTCTGGGCACCCGTGTTTGTACAGAGGTTTACAAAAGCCTTTACCTCTATTGATAACCAAGGTTTTATTTAACACAGCAAAGCCCACAAGTCAGACTGAGCCAAGCTGACTTTCCGGAGGAATCTGCAAGCAGCCTCACTAACCAGGTGATTATTTTCTTCCACCAAATTTTTCCTTCAGTGGGAAGTTACAAGATTCATGGGTGGCTGAAAAACACATGATGTACAATAGAAGTTCAACAAAACAGATGCTGCTCCTAACTCTCTAAGAATTCTGCTCTGAATTGCATACATACAATTCACACACACAAAGTCATGAGCCTGACTGCACATCAGTGCGTATTTAGAAGGCTGTTCCAGTCACTGGTCTATATTACAGGCTCCCATGAAATCATGTCCTTATTCAGTCCTTCTGCCGTGGAATGCACTAGGATTTTATGGGTCTGGTACAAAGCCTGCTGGAAGTCAATCAGTTGCCTTCATATTGCTTTGAATTAAAGTCATCTTGACCTAAAGCACCTACTCTTACTGTGGGTTACTCCCTGGAAATACACATTGTTCTATCCACTAACCACAAAGAAATTAACTGCTAGTTATGTATGAGATTCTAGCTCTCTGTCCCCATTATTCTATTTGCTGGGACATTTCCGCCACTGTGTTAGAGATAACGCATGGCACCGAGCGGAGGGCAACTGCTACCTAAAGCAAACGGAAGGCCAAATCTCAGCCCGCTTCCTTTTCTGGCTTTGAATTTCTGCTTTTGTGAGCAACCTGCTGGCCCCAGGGTATGTTTTTGAGGCTGAGGTGCATGGAGGCTTCACTTGAGAAGAGGTAATCATACCCTAGATTAGCCCTAGGTGATGCCTGAACAGCATCATTGTAACGAAGCAACTAGAACAGGGGTTGAGAAAGGTGTCCGAGTATTACAGCAAGAAGCTGGACACCTTTGTTCAGCTTTAACATAAACCTACACACCAATTTTCACTCAGTGTTTCTGTGAACATAACCCTGAAGTACCACTTTCTGGTACCCACAAGCACAAGGTCACAAACTATTCTGATGATAGTAAAAAGTGTTTATCAAAGATCTGCTACAACCTTTTAATAAGATTGCCCAGGTTTAATGGTAAATAGCTGGTGAAGTTGAACTATGTAGTATTTTCTTGAAAGATCAATAAACCATATAACACTCAGGCCACAAGATCTGACAGTTAATAGATTACAGTAATCCAGCTGCACAACATTTCACAGACGTAGGTTCAGACTTCATCCAACATAAATTAATACAGACCCACTACTGCAAGTGGAACAACGCAATCACAGTGACCTAGACCAGATGCCAGCTTAGTTCCACACCACCACTAAAACACAGGCTTGTGTGGTGTGGCAACATCTTAGTGCACAACGCCGTAACACACAAATTTTTTCCTCGCCGTTCCTCACAAAAATTAAGTTCTACTTACTGTAACAACCCTAGCAAGCATACTTCATTGTTCAGGAGTTCCCATGCACGCACATTTGACAAAAAATGAATTCTATGTAAAATGAACTTCTTCACTGACACTTATGTCGACATGATTTTGGTAGATCAAGTGATCTAAGTTGTTCTTTAAGACATCAGACCAAGAACTTAGCAGATTCGCATATATAGCAGCTTGGAGAGATCTGTTTAGACAGATCTAGCTACTTCCCTCCATTTATCTTTTTGCGCTGTAGACCCTTTTCCTTCCAGACCGTGCTTTATTACCTGCCATCTCCAAGCACTTGAGTGCCATATAACAGCGTTTTGTAGGTTTGAGCTTGCCAGATAGAGCACCAAGATTCAAGATCTCAACCTTGACCCAGTATTTATCTCCCACTTCTTTCCAGGCAGCACTTTGGGCGTCATTCTCAAAGCCATATGGTCTCTAGTGACTTCTTCACAAGTCGCCACCACACGATCTGCTTAGATGTAATACGTAGGAACAGAAAAGTCTCCATAATAGCACCCAGTTACAATGGTAAAACCTTTAACTGACTCCTGATTGACCAATCATTTTGCACAGCTGCCAAGACTTTTAAGTCATCTGGTCTAATTCTCATTTAGGTGAATGTGAAAATACTAATTTACTCCTGAAGCGCTCTTTGGAGCACAAAACAATTAAAACAGATATTTAAAGATTAAATTCTGTACTGACACCCATGGATGAGAAGTATTTTTGAATGTCTAAAGAAATGTAGCTTCTAGATAAAACAGAGTGATCGAAAACTAAGTTCTGGCCACAGGAAGGATCACGCTTCATTTTTGCTACTGCTTTTGAACAAGCACCAAAGTGCAGCTCTCCGGAGATGAGTACTCAATATATGCTCAGAATCAATTTGTCGTCCACTGCGGAGAAGGACCGGACTGGAGCAGCTCCAGTCTATTGTGTCAACGTGTGTTTGGGGCAGGCTTTAATCTGAAGAGCCACTTGAGTGCCGTGTAACTATGTACATTAAACTCATTACATTTTTGATAAAACACAGTAACTCCCTATTCACAGCAGCCACTTATCAAAACTGTGACTTGACTATTTAATTTTTTTTTGAGTGGCAAAGGATGCATAGCCTGCATCACAGACAATATTAAGATTATTGTACAGAATAAAGTCATTTTAAGTTACAGCTGTCCTCTGAAAAGACTTTGGAGCCTGAAAATACCGTGTATGTGATCATGACTTCATTTGTCCCTTGCATAGCTATTTAAAAAATGAATACCATAGGGAAAGTGGGGTAGTTTTTACATTTAACTAAACCAATTCATTATGCATTTGTACTTTAAAAGGTCAAACATTTGCAAATACTGACAAACAAGGAGCAATGGAGAGAATGATTGGCTTGCGTCAAGAGAGAGAAACGGGAGAACGTCAGCGACTTGACACCAACTTCACAGTGGCTGTCCAAGACAACAACTGATGTCTGCTTACTCTTTGGCTCATGAATGTATGCGTGTTTTTTGCTGTGACTCCACCCTCTGCACCAGTCCTAAGGAAGAGCAATGGAGTTAAGAAACCTCTGCAAGCAAAACAAAGGACGTGTTTATTTGCCAAGACTGACAAAATCACCTCTTCCTCCCCACTTCCCCCAAGTCATCATGCTGTTCACAGCGTTTATTTTTCTTCCAAGTGACCCTTTGCCCCGGGAACACAAAGAGATCAGACTCTTCATGAATACCCATACCCACTGTGGCTGCAGTTGATAGTCTTCAGCCCTTACTGACTGCTAAAAGCAAGGCTAGGGAGGGACCACTGCCGCTATCGTTCAGTCCCCTGCTACCGAAATAAAAACCTACTGGCAAAAATTCCATTTAGCAGGGATGAAAGATAGATAGGAGAAACTGTATTAGCAACCCCACTCAACCGCAGCTCTGGGTTTTCTCCCTCTGAACATTAACCTAGGCTGAACAGGGTGCCTGGTACCTCCCCAGAGAAACATGACTAACCTCCCCTGAAGAACTGATAGTCAGCTTTAGCCCCAATGAACCAGACTTGGAACTGGGCTCTGAGGGTGCCTGGCTTCGCAATGAAGCTCTCAGCTTTCTCCCAAAACCAGTCCTGAATGAAAAACCTGCTAGGAATAAGCAACCTGACGCATTCATCTGAAAAAATTATGCATGCCTCGAATAAAGCACATACCCAAACATCACCAATATCACTCAGAAAAGCTAAAGAA